GATCGAGCTACAGAGATATTCCACTACCTAATTAATACTTGTTGCCAAGTATATCGGTATTGCCCCCATATCGAGGCCACACACATATGACGTTCCTTGCTAAATACTCGTCTATTCTCAGGACATGTAATACTAATTAGCATCTATTCTCCTTTGTTAGTCTCTTCCCCGATGTCCCAAGTTTTCAAAAGGCAACCTCTTTCTCCCTTTGACAATGATGTGTGTGAATCCGTTTAACACCCCAATTACACAAATAAATCAATATTTGTCTTTAATAATGATTGATCCAACACCTCCCATTTTAGACACTCAAGGATTGTCTAAGGAAATAGGGTGAAACAAAAACATTAATGGGTTGTTTTGGAAACTTTACAGTTCTGATTAAGCATAATTGTGTTATTAAGTTCATTAACAAAAAGGGTAGTATTAAAAACATATTGGTTTCTTTTTTTTTTTTTATAGGAGAGGAGACTGGTGAGATTCGAACCTGTGACCTAATGGTTCAACAACAGATTACGGTGACCATTAGACCAACCGCTAATCCTTGATAGTACACCTCTAATGTTTCGTTTGGGAATGTCTAACGCTTCAACAGTAGACATAAGTATGAGATTGACTGCGGAGTCAAGATCCACTGTCACTCCATTCACTATCACTCCATTCATCTCTATTTTAACATACAACAAAGCGGTGTTTTTGAGATAAGTTTTTTTGTGGCGACAGTGTTTACCATAACAAAAAAGCGTGTAATGAATACAATTTTTTTTTGTGGCGATAGTGCTGTTATAAAAAATTATTTATTGCTGCAAATACTTTGTTGTTTCCATAACAACTTTTTTAGACTCTGCTTATCACGGCAAAGTGTTGTGACAGCATGTCTTGCCGTAATAAGTGGATTCTCAAAAAATCTTTGTGGCAGTAATAACCGCCTCGAATAATATTTGCGACAATAAATAAACCTTTTGTGACAACACTATCACCATAATTTTTTTTATTTCTCTAAAATACGTTCTTTTTGTGACGATGAACACTGTCGGTGCAAAAAACTTGTCCCAAAATATACTAATTCTTGTAGTATGTGGAGTTTGGCTCTTTTTCTAGTGAGCTTAATTATATTACTTTTACATTAGAATACCTCAGATTTGTTTGCTAAAAACTTGAAGGAAAATCAGGGGCGCAGCGAGGATGTCTAGACATTGGGATAATCTAATTCTCATTAATAAATGAAAACTGTAATATTTATAAAAAAAATTTAAACATATTTATTAGTAAATTTTTGATGAGTATGATTTAACTAAATGAACGTCAGTTGAAGTAAAACTCATATACCGATGATATTTCAAAAAGTAAAGGGTTATTAAGCCGAATTTCGTTCGCTTTGGACTTTAGTAGTTGGATAAATTAGCCTTATTTAGGAAATCATATCCTGACTGTGCCCATGATAATGGTTGCACTTAAATGGAAGTAAAGAATCAACAGAAAATGATCAAAATAAAAAATCTATTATAATTTTATAGATACTAGGCGTAACCTGTGTCTGAGGTACAATATAATGTGCATGGTATTGAGACAAATGTTAGTGATTTTTGGATGACTATATTTGAGACCACCGAATGAGTTTATTCAAGTCTGACATGTTTTATATTATAGATTGTAAAATTACTAGCACTTCGCTCCCTCTAAAATGTGAGATAATTTGTAACTTATTTAATAGACTATAGTGTATGAAGGTAATTAGACATGTCATACAATGTTTTGAATTTTTTAAAATTATACAGTAACCCAAAATCTTTCAAAACCACAATGGGGGCAACACCGATGACAATACCATATATCATTAAGGGAGAATAAACTTGTGCATTCTTATGCTTGGTTTGACACGATGAAAAAAATAGAAAGATAAAAAGTTGGAAGAATAGATAAATCAAGAAGAAAAAAATTTTGTCATATAATATAAAACATCATGTTTGATAAGGAAGAATGAAAAAGTGGATAAATGAGTTTTTCTTCTAATTCATTAAAATCAATCCCTCTACAATTAGAAGAAACAACAAATGACAAGTTAATTATGTGTGTTAAAATATATGTTATTTGTCTATATATCCTTTAATATACACATATATGCTATTTGTCTATATATCATTTAATATATACATATATCATATTTATCAATCACATATTATATATACACATTAATTTCATATATAGATATAGTAAAAAAATATGAATTTATATTTTTTTAATAAAAAATAAAAAAATATTTTTTTCAACCTACCAAACTTAAAAAAAATCAATCATTCATACTTTTCATCCCTTTTATTTTTCATCCCTTTTATTAAACATAAAGGAGGAAATAAAAGATTCCTTTGTTGAATGATATAAAAGTGTATTATTCCTATTTTTTTATCCACCATACCAAACATACTATTAAAGTAATAGCAATCAACTCCTTCAATACAATTCATTTGCGAAAATAAAATGACAAAAGCTAGAGAACATAATACTTTAGGGCACAAATTAAATAAAAAAATTCTGTTTATATTAAGGAAGGATCAGATGCAACTGACTAGTTGTTATGATTTTGAGAATTAAATGGTAAAAATGAGAAAAAAAAATGAAGTTTGTTGAGCAAATTGAAACTTATGTTAAAGTTCATGGGCATCCATAAGATCTACCCTATGTTTTTTTTCAAAAAAGAAAAATTGAGGCTAATGCTATGATACCACCATTAATTTCATTTATTAATTTTAAATTAAATAATCTACAGCCATTAATTAAAACAAAATTAATAAAAATTATGAATAAAAAAATTACACACCTGATGCATTATTATTGATTCAAATAGTATAAATGCACTCTTGAAAATGAGAGGTATCAAAATATGACACGAATATGATACAAAATTAGAGGGTTTAAGTCTTCTTTAAGCCACTAATTTTGTAAACGAGCAGACCCGACACGACATAATTAAAGAGTGGATTGACTATGAGTAAAATTAATTAAAAAAAATATATGATACGACTCATTTATATATTAGTTATATACGATAAAATCTTAATGAGAAATAATTAGTTAGACACGAATTAATAAATAAATAAAATATAAATAAAATATTTTTTAATACAAATCTATTAAGACCCAACACGAAACCGCGTCCCACCGCTCTATATTTGAACCAAAATATTGAAAAAGCCAATCTTATCTTCAGCTGGTGTAACAGGGCCATGTAAATTAACTAACCTGAAAATACAGCTGGGATATTAATGTACAGTGTTGGCACGATGTTCTGCCATAACAAATAGTAATAAATTTTTTTTCAATGTATTTTTGGTTCTACCCTCGCTTTTTCTGCATGGCTACAAGCCTAAAAGTTCTGTGTCATGTGATGTAAACTCCCCAGAAGATTCAGTACTCTCTCTCTCTCTCTCTCTCTCTCTCTCTCTCTCTCAGTGTGTATGGCTATTGCAGAAAATCATCATCTGGGTGATGATTTCTTTCTATCAATTCTGACGACAGCCACCCAAAATATCTGTTTTTAGCCAACTTGCTCTCGGCTCTATATGGACAGTCCATTGGAGTTAAAATGTTTATACAAGAGTAGGGTTTGTATTGGAATTGATCATGAATGTGGAATCATCCGAAGAGAACGGCATTTTGCACAACAATTCGGTAAACTCTAGTTCCTGGTACCATTTTCTTTATACCCACTTGGTTTTTTTATCGAATTTTTTCTGTTCCTGTTAATTCTATTTTTGGTGGGTTTGTGCTCTCTTTTCATTTGATTTGTTGTTTTTTGGGTTTTTGCAGATGATTGCAAATTTTCTTACTTGGTACTTTCATGGTATATGTGTCACTTGGAATATCATGATTACAATTTTACACCACAATTTTAGAATGATGTTCATTTTTGTTTTCTTAATCTACTTTTTTTTTAGTATCTGCGATTTTGTTGCTTCAATATTGAAGGCTTAGAATAGTGTGCGCTTAAATTTCAGATATTCTGTTTCATTCTCACACTGGATCAGAGTTATGCTGCCCCATGTAGGATCTGTTTTTCTTTTTAAATAGATTGCTAAATTTCTAGATCTTTAGTTAACTTGTTTTTTCTTTTATTATAAGTCTTTCAAATTTGTTTATCCTTTAGAGTGCTATTAATTTCACATAATTCCTAACTACGGTTAATTTTATTGGTGATTCAACTGTTGATAGCTTTATGAAGAGTCATTCTAATGATTCTTGTATTAATTCGGTTAAGGATGGACTAATTTGCTTGAAGAATAGTGTAGGAAGAAACTTCAATAAAATTTTCATGCTTCATTTGCATGCAACTGGATAAATTCCTTATATTTGTGCTAGGCTCATTCATTTATAAGTTATGTTGATGGTTTCATCTCTAATGGTATCATGCATAGAAGTGATGTGTTGTGTGAAAGAGCTGGATAAGGACGACTTTGTTTTACAGAAGTTGGAAGACTTGGTAGATTCTTCTCAATACAATGGGGCCTGACGAGTCTCTGCTATAACAGATGGTCCATATCAAGTTTGGGGACCATATTTATGTATGTCCATGTTGTCAATAATTTGGAATCATATTAACTTTCTGGAGAATTAGTTAATTTGTCTGCATTTTGTTTGTTCGATTTTAAATTCCTCACTCCTGGTAGCAAAAGGTGAAGGCATGAGAGTGACCACGGTCCCAATTCTTTCCTTTATTGTAGTGGGAATCTTAAGTTGTCTGACTCAGTGTATTAGCTTTATATGTACTTTTGCTGAAGTATATGTCGTCTCTTTTCTGGTTTTCAATCTCTTCACTTGCTGTTAATTAGTTTGATTTGCCGTTTTATAGGGGGTTGCCTAAATATAAACAACATTCCTGCAAAAGGGTATTGGAAGAGACTAGTTATTATATGAATGAGTAGTAACATTAAAGGTGAATGAGTGCCTGCATTAGTGAAATTTACGGAAGATTTTGAATTGCAGGCTGAATCACAGACTGCGCTATGTCTGGAAATCAGTATACATATGATTGCGCCACACCCAGAACAAGATTGGAAAGGCTTTTGAGGGAAAGAGAGCTAAGGAGATCTAACAGGTCTCAGCATTCCAATGAAAAGGTAAGAGATGGTAACAGGGAGGTGGATATCTTTGAGAATGGGAATGACTTGTATATAGTTGGTGATGATTGGTCTCGAGAGGAAGAGTCCGTGGAAGCGATTGCAGCAGCAAGGGCTCTTACTTATGGATATGAGAGGCAAGAAGGGCAGTCTTCCAAACAACGATTATTGGTGGTGGCCAACCGTCTACCTGTATCTGCATTTAGGAAGGGCGAGGACTCTTGGACACTAGAAGTAAGTGTAGGTGGCCTTGTCAGTGCACTTTTGGGTAAGTACATGTTGAATTCATATATGAACTGATGCTCCACATTCATTCATTTGCTGTATTCATTTTCCATCTCTATTAGGCATAATAATTGATATCTGATAACTTTCTTGAAGGTGTGAATGAGTTTGAAGCCAGATGGATTGGGTGGGCTGGTGTAAATGTACCAGATGAAATTGGACAGAAATCACTTACGAAAGCTCTAGCTGAAAAGGTTCACAAAATTTGGCCCCATACCAAAGTTTTCATTGATTATAAAGTTCTAAACATTTCATCTCTGCATTCTTATACTCATAAGCTACAAAAGTCATGTTTGATTATCCATCTTTGTGATGTTCCTGAGATTGTGTTGGTGACTGCAGAGGTGCATTCCAGTTTTTCTGGATGAAGAGATTGTTCATCAATATTACAATGGCTATTGTAACAACATCTTATGGCCTCTTTTCCATTATCTTGGGCTTCCGCAAGAAGATCGCCTTGCTACCACTCGCAGTTTTCAGTCTCAGTTTGCTGCATACAAGAAGGCCAACCAAATGTTTGCTGATGTGGTTAATGAGCACTATGAAATGGGCGATGTCATTTGGTGCCATGATTACCATCTGATGTTTCTTCCAAAATGCCTTAAAGAATATAATGATAAAATGAAAGTTGGTTGGTTTCTCCATACACCGTTCCCTTCCTCGGAAATTCACAGGACACTGCCCTCTCGATCTGAGCTACTAAGATCTGTTCTTGCTGCTGACCTAGTTGGGTATGCCTTTTATTTTGCACGCACCATTCATGTCATGTGTCTTATTTTCATTTTTTCTATTATTATTTGAGTGACAATATGACATCACACAACTAAAGCTGAGGTTTCATTCACGAAAGCTGAAATGAGTAACCTAAAGGGTCATTTGGTTTGCCAATTGCCATATTATGGAGTAGATTAAGGAGGCATGTTGGATTAAAACTCTTTGATCTGGTCTTATAGCACATGTGGATGCTAAAATTGGTCCATGTTTATTTGGGTAAGTAAAAGGTATTGATATTTTGTGAAAAGATACAACCACCCAAGTGGCGAAGTTTACATCTACAAAAAAGAGCAAGTCCAGTTCTGCAAAGAGCATTACAGGATCCAAAAGAAATCACAAGGGGCTAATCTTCTAGAAGTACTCTAGATGGCCAGAACTTCTACCTGATTAACCTCTATGCTATACATATCAATGCTATATATATGCATGATTATATCTCTAAGTATCTCATACGTACGATTCTGTATTGAGTCAATTTTAATTCCAAGGGGAAAATTGTATCATAATATAGTTCAACTATATTAGGTTACAAGTTTACTATTTTGCCCTACGGTGTAAATAACATCATTGATATGAATTGACAAAGTTAATTTAATCCTCGGCGAAAGGCCTAAGACACATGAGTTGGCCTGAAGTGATGGCCTATTTCTCCTTGGGCTGGTTCAACTCGTTACGTGTTGGCCCTAGTCCAGAAGCCTCACGATGATGTCATAGGCTGCTTTTTTCCCCATTTTGGCCTGATAACTTGGCCAAACCAGGCCTACAAAGGCGTCAATCAGCTAGGTCCGCCAAACTCAAACTTTTTTGAAAAAAATCAGCTGTTGGATCATATGTAATGATTGGAACACAATTGTCAGATTTCTGAATGGTGGAACCTGATGATCGAATTCAATTTATTAATGATTTTTTATGAACATTTGACTTATGCATGTATATTATAACAATTGCACACTTTGACATTGATGAAAAGTCCTGGTATCCAGTGTCCTTCCGTTTGCATCAACAGTTAACTTAGTTAGATGGATGGTGGAATGTTCTAGTTGAACTAGATTAGATTGATGACATTCTGGTGAATATGACATCAGTACTAAGGGGTAAGTGAACTAACCTAATGTGAGATAAGCCTGACCAAATGTGTTTTATCTCTATGTGGGATTAGTCTGGAATCTGGATTATCTAATTCAGTCCTCACTTTTGAAATCCGGCAACCAAGCGAACCCTAGTTGTCAAATTTTAAGTTTCTTTTCCTTCAAGAAGGGCTACCCCTTGGTGGCCTACTTATGATAACCGCCTTAGCTATTAATGGAAGTTGAATTAATTGAATTATAAGTTGCTCAAATATCCTTCCTCCTTTTGCCAAGCAAAAATTTTGCTCAGCACTAGCAGAAAGAACTCAATTTCGTATCCCATCATGCAATCCTTGCTACCAACTTCTCAAAATCTTCTAAAGAGATGGTTGTAGCTCCATGGAGATTGAAACAGGTTAAATCATATCCACAGAGTTTTGAAATAGTATGATCTTACTCGAGACCTTAGAGTTGACAAACCGAATGTTGTATATATCTGGTCAGTGAGAGTGATAGAGGAATGGAGAACATGACAGAGACAGGCTTCTTGGACGTCTATACATGGCCTCAAGTTTAACAAAACCTATTTATATAAGAGTATGTGGTGCTGATGCATACTGGTCTCCAACACCTTTAACTTGGCAATTACATTGCAATTTTATCATTCTCTTGCACAAGGAAATGGACATATGATCTTTTTGTTATAGGCATACTGATATATCCTATCACTTTTTCTGCTTGCATTGATACTTGTATACACTAGCATGCATATAGTTCTATTTTTACTTTAAAAGGTTTAATCTTTTTCCTGCCCAATGTACGGAGAATTCGTAACTATCTGTAAAGGAGGACATGTCAAGAGAGTCATAACACATCAAGTCATTGTTCATAATTACTTAAGAGTACTTTGGACTACTGTAAGAACGGTTTTTTTTATTAATCTGAAACCTTGCCTAATTGATTAGATATTCCAAGAATTGGAGAAAACTATCATTTTTATTGATAGATCCTAAATCAGTTTAGATTTACCCTTGAATTTGATTTGTAAGTTCTCAAGATGACAGGGGCTTTATTTGTTTGATTTTTCACTACCAGCTTCCATACTTATGATTATGCAAGGCATTTTGTTAGTGCCTGTACTCGTATTCTTGGCCTTGAGGGGACACCTGAAGGTGTGGAGGATCAAGGAAAGCTGACTCGTGTGGCTGCGGTATATATTTTATCTTTTCATCACTGGCTTACTTCTTTTTTCACCCATGTGCTTGCAAAACTGATGCATATTTCACCTCATGGTAATTATCTCCATTAGTAATTTTCATGGAGCTCCTAAATTCTACACCATTATGCCAAATCATTGTCTTGTGAACTTGAAACTGCAGTTTCCAATTGGGATAGATTCTGATCGGTTCATTCGAGCTCTTGAACTCCCCCAAGTCAAGAATCACATTAAAGAATTGAAAGAAAGATTTTCTGGTCGAAAGGTAGGTGCCATTTCTGTCCTCTGAAAGCACCACCTTTACTAGGACTTGTAAATTTTGATTGGACTTCAATTTAAATTGAGATATCTGATTTTTATGCTTCATCCGACAAGTAGCTTGCACTCCATCCAATCTATAACTGGTCTATAATTCATCTTGTCCTTATTTATATCTTTTTTAAGTTTATTTGTTCTTAGTTGGCTTTTTCTGAGGTCTAATGAATTGATTTTGCACATAAAGCAAGCATTTGTTTGTAGACATATGGATACAAGTTAGAAAAATATGTGTGACCCCTATCCTACGCATGACCAAAACATCAGTTCTTCAAGCTTGAATGCTTCCAGCCTTATTTTAAAGCTATCAGTTGATTTTGTGCATAGAGCAAGTATTTGTCTTTAGGTATATTGCTACATGTTTCAAACTTCTATCTGTTGACTTCTCTAATTGTTTGGCAAAAATAGATTTATCTTTCCATTATTAAGGCCTACAAGCTTGAATAAAATAAGCTAGGTCATTTCTGCAAACTTGAATGTGGATAGTCAGTTTATCTAAAAGTATTTCAATCATGCTGTTATTCGATTATGTAAAATGCTAATTCTTACTCCCTGATTATGGGCAGGTAATGTTAGGAGTTGATCGTCTTGATATGATTAAGGGAATTCCCCAAAAGATTTTAGCATTTGAAAAATTTCTTGAAGAAAATCCAGAATGGCGTGATAAAGTAGTTTTGCTGCAAATTGCTGTGCCAACAAGAACAGATGTTCCTGAATGTATGTTTCTTCATCATCTTCTTTATCTTCTCATCTCCAAAGAAGGCATCTTAGGGACTTTCTTTCGAGTTTCGAGTATTAGGGTGCATGAATCAAGTTCCTGACATTTCCTTTTTTCATTACTGCTCATGTTCCATCATACAGCCATAACGAGACAATTTTGAAACCACAGAAAAGAGAAGCTGTCTATCCTAATTTAAAGTTATCCATCTTGAACCATAAACAATTGTGTACATTATTACCAGCTTTTGAATGCCTGGGAAGAGAAAGAAGCAGATGGAGCAAATGCATCTTCTTCCTGTCCACTCTTCCTGAAGTGAGTGAATTGCATGTAGAGATCCGTAGGGGCTTATAGTTTAATTGGTTGAAACGTACTGGTCACAACGACCATGTTGTAGGTTTGAGCCCTACTAAGCCTACTCACCCTTTCTCTTCACCTGATACTAGGCAGTCGAAGATCCCACCACCCTGCAGATCTCAATCTAGTGATGGCACCTGGAAAAACACTGCTGCCCCTGCCCTTTGAGCATGCCTCCTACGCTTGTGCTCTTGCAGTCTTGCAACAGTTACAAAAACTTTCTTCAACGTTAGATATGGGTTGGAGCCATTTATTATTCTGTTTTGTGTCTACTTGATCATATAGAAGGCTTTTCAGCATAGTTTGCCAGATAATATCCTCGATCGAAATAGATGTTAATATTTGGGAGGTTGATTTTTTGCATTTGATTTTCAAAACTAAAACATTTTGGGGAGATGGGAAATTCCTGGTCAGGGAAAGAATTGGTGAAATATTTTAATTTACTAATTTGAACCTTGCAAGAATTCATTACATATAGGAGCCTCATTTCTTCAACATTGTATTTTTGTTTTTTCTTTCAGCAAGGCAAGAAAAGTAAAAATAGATTAGAAAAGGCAAAGCTACTTTGATGATATCTCACAAAATGTTAGAGATGGTGCATGTAAAACTATAAATCATTGGGTCAAATAAGGAGCTTCTATGATGGCCCTAGTTGAAGGTGCCACTGCGTCTCACCTTGAGCATTTCTCGAGGATGGAACGGGTACTTCATGTTGGTAGTAGCGGCTAGGTTTCTCTTTCAAGACTTTGGACATCTTCTTTTTGAGTCTCTTCAAAATTTCATCCTTCTCTAAAGTACTTGTTTACCATACTATCTAATAATTTTTGTTTCTTGTTTTGTTTTTCTTTTTTAAATCTCATATTTCAATATCACATCAAGTTTGAATCTATCACATTTAGCTAGGATCTGCCAGATTTGGTTTATTAGAAGCAACTTTAAATTTGCTTATGCACTGAAATTGGCCTATTTGTAATCGTAATCAATGATAGCTCTTATGGTTAAGACAAATTGGGTTGGCTTTCTTTATCTTATTTTTGTTAGATTCTTGTCATCTCTCCTTGATGTTTACTAGGATTCATGATTTGGGGAAAACTTCATTTCAGAAGCAAGCCCTCTAAAAATTTTTTTGAGTCCCTTTTCAAACTTTGATCAATTGAAATCAGTCATAGTTTTAATAAGCTCCAATTGTCTAGGAATATTAGTGTATATCATTGACCGAGATTCCGAAAATAATTTGAGTGGTAGCTCTGAGGTTTTTCCAATTGAGTAATATGTGCTTCAACTAGTCTGAGGTTTATTCCTTTTTTTTTTCCTGTTGTTTTTAATCAAATTAGTCTTCATATTTTTAATAAGATTCAATTGTCCAGGACTCTTAACGTATGTCATTGACCGAAATTCCAAAAATAATTAGAGTGGTAGTTGTGAGGTTTTCCAGTTTAGTAATATGTGCTGCAAAGTCTGCGCTTTATTGCTTTTTGTTTTTCTGTTGTTTTTAATCTGAGCAGTCTACAAAGTATGTTCCTTTACTTTTTTGCTTTGACAGATCAAAAGCTCACATGCCAAGTTCATGAAATTGTCGGTCGCATTAATGGAAAATTCGGAACTCTTTCAAGCGTTCCAATACATCATTTGGTATATCTCTTTGCCTTGTTGTCTTATATTTTGATTCATAAGACTACGCAACAACTCTGAACTGCTTACTTTGTGGAAGGGTTATAAGAGTCAAGCTAATTACGAGAAGATATCTAAAAAAGATACTTTTGGTTCTAAAATATATGTTGTATTGGTAGAGTAAATGAATATCTTTCTCTTCAACTAGCAGTTCAACAGTTGCAGCTTACTACTTTTTATCACGTCGGTAGTTTGATTTTATTTAAAGTCACACTCTAGGGATTTTTTTTATGCTGTTTTGTTTTTGTCAATAGCCAAACCAACAAAATAAAGGCGTTAGAGCTGTTTGAGCACCTGAATTGAGATCTTGCAATCTTCTATTCGAATACTGAAAAACGTACATGATATTAGCGGAATGAACTAATATTTTCCAGTCTATTTCCTTGGGAATGGTGTCATAAATGATGTAAGGGGAGGCTGTTCTTGCAAGTGATTACTTGAAGCCTGCAAAGGTGGAATGTTGTGGTTCGGGAGAAAAGAAAGAGAAGAAAAGGAATAGAGAAAGCAATCTATTGGATGTGTAGAGTTTTTACTTCCTACACTCAAAATCTAGTTATAATGTTAAGAGATTTGAACTAATTATAACATTATTCTTGCTAGAACATTCTAAAACAATAGTGGATAAAAATAGCAAAAATGACATGTCAACACCTATATTATGAAGTGGAGATTGAATCCTTAATATCTCACACTCAGTACTAGCCATGACAGGGTACTGAGTCTTTGCACTAGAATGAGCTGCCAACTAACATACAGTGATGAGACATAGAACGTCTATCGATTCAATTGACTGCCCATTGAATATGAGAAAAAGCAATAACATTCATGGATGATAATGACTGATATGACAATCCTTTGCTATTTCGATATGGAAGAATACAGCTAGCAATCTCGTAGTTAGGCTTACGAGGAATGTGCACATACTAACACCGATAACATAAGTGATGTCTAGGTGTGTGGCTGTTGTCGATAACAGCCTGTGTCCTCCAAAACTTTTCCACTTTCGCTATCCAATTTAGTTATGGAACCATCAGGGAATTAACTGGGCATTCACCGTAGTTTCAAACAATAAATCTAACACATACTTTCACTAGCACAAACTGATATCTTCCTTAGATTGAGCAAACACAATACCAAGAAAGTGGCCAAGAATACCCAAGTCTTTAGTGTATATAGCTTTCCCAAATGGATCTTAAAGTAGGTAATACCGGCAAAGTCATTTCCATTGATAGTAATGTCATCAACATACATTATCAGAATAACTATACTTGTGGAGGAACAATGTTTGAACACAAAATGGTCTTGAAGTAGAGCGCTAAAAATCATATTGAGGTACAACGGTATTGAATGGATTAAAACATGGATGAGGAGATTGTTTCAGGCCGTAGGGTATTTTATGGAGATGACATACTGACTCTCCCTCCTGATAAGCAGCAATATTCTGTGGTTTAAGGATATATACTTCCTTATGTATACCTATGTGTAGAAAGCCATTCTTTATATCCAACTAATCTAGGGGGGCAATCAAAGATCACTGCATCAGAAATCAAAACTGTAATTGAGTTAAGTCTGGCATCAAGAGAAAAGCTCCGACAATAATCCATACCATATATCTAAGTATATCTCTTAGCATCGAGAGAAAAGCTCCAACAATAATCCATACCATATGTCTAAGTATATCTCTTAGCAACTACTCATGCCTTTAGGTGCCCAACTGAGCCATCCAGATGATACTTCACAGTATAGATCCGGTGACAACTAACAGACTGCATGTCATGAGAATAGGAGTGAGGTTCCATTACTCGTTTTCGTGAATGGCAATAATTTCCTCATCCACTATAGCCAGTTTCCATCTGAGAGATGTCAAGGTCTATTTGAAGGAACTAGGAACAAACACAAAAAAGACAACAACGATGCAAAACGACGAAGTGATATGGAAAGCATATGAAAAGAGACAATTAGAAATAAGGTTATTTGTACAACTACGAATACCTTTCTGCAATGCAATGGACAAACTAGGAGAAGATGGATCAACAAACGACTTAGATGTCTGGTCCTCAGTAGAAGTAGTCATTGTTTGTAGGGCTAGAGCATATGGAATAACTTCATTGCCCTTGGAGTGAAGGAGCAGAATTTAGGTGGGAAGGAGAAACAAGATTAGGAATAGTAGATAATAGAAGCTTCCCTTGACTAGGAAATACTAAATCAAGAGCAATACTATGTCTAAACACAAAGGAAGGGGGCGACCCCAATAAGGTATTATCAACACTGTTAAAAGTATGGACGAGAGACGGGATCGAAGCACATATAATATTCCGTGAGTCCGAAAATATCTCAAGATGCACTTGACGGAACGTGGTAAGAGTTTATTATGACTCGGAGCAAGAAGATGGACAAAGACAATACAACCAAAGATACTAGCATTAAACAGGATGGTGGTGCATGTACAAAACTTGTTGCCCAAAATGAAGAATGATAGGATTAATATGATACACACCCGTAAGAAGAACATGAGTCCAATAGCATTTTGATACATGCATGCTAAACTTTATAATACGGGCAACATCCAGGAAATGATGATGTTTGTGTTTTGAATTGCCATTGTTGGGATGTATTTGAGCATGTATTTGTTCTTCCCTAGACTTTTGCAATTTAATTGGAAATGACAGAGTCAAACCTTGTATTCTCTCTCTCTCTCTCTCTCTCACACACACACACACACAAGCTGTGTACACAAAATTACCAAGCCCTAATGAGAATGCATGCTTTATTTTTCTTTTCTTGCATACTACCTTTACAAGATTGCAGCATATGTTTAGTCCCAACATTCTTGTTTCAACTGTTACCATTCAAGAGTAATGTAAAGGTTTCTAAAGCACTTCCTTCTTTATTTACAGGACCGTTCTCTTGACTTTCACGCATTATGTGCACTGTACGCTGTTACTGGTATCCATTATTGTCCCATAAACCTCAGATTTAGAAGCATTCATTTTTATGTTGGCCAATTTATTGTATATGAATTTGTTTGAAGTGAACAAATAATGGACCTCTTTTTGTTCGGTTCGAATATGAAACAAGGTGAAATGAGAAATGCTATTGATCAATTAGTAGTGAGCTGGTTTTGTCATTTCAACATTTTATTTTAGTGTTCAATTTGAGCTGAATTTATGGCAAAGGAAGAGTAATATGAAAATCTGATACCACAAGGTGTCAAATGGATATATTTTTCTTCTCTGTAGTTACAATTCAAGTATCAATGCTGTCTGGTAACTGTCCATTCATTAATTATAATGTTGTTTTTTTTCACGAGGCTTTTTCTTAGTAACATGTTCATTTGTTTGTTTTCATATCAGTGAGTCTTTCACAATTTACAACATCACAAACCCCTATTTTTGTGATGCTAGTGTGTTTTGGTGATCACTAGAACTTAATAAAAAAGGCACAAGTCTGAATAGTGGTATTCACTATCCCCCCTCCTCTTTCATGCCGGTTAAAATTTCTCTTCACTTTATATGCACCCTCCTTTTAGAAGTCCATCGGTATTGTATAATTACTATTGAAGGCTAAGCAGTTCTTGGCTTCTGTGGTCAATTGAGAAAGCCCTATCCTCTGTCACCAAATTAGAATTTGTTTTTCTTTTTCAAAACGAGGAACTGGAATTTGTTTACATAGAAATAATATGTATCATATGTGAAGGATGGAAAATCCTTCAGTCTTGGGCTAACTAGAGATTTCTGTGTGGAGCTCTTTTTTGGGGATGGGAGAAAGAACCAAATTGGAAAGATCACAAAAAAAATTGATACAATGATAAAATATTGAGTTCCTGATTTCAATCTTCCTAGGGGAAGCTGGAGCTTGGAAAGTCAGGTTTCATTTCGGAGGATGGCTTCATACATTCCAAAAACAAAGCTGTCAATTAGATGGCTCTTGGAATGAGCTAGGAAATAGCTCATGCAACAGCTGCCTATCTATAAGCTAGGCTCTCACTCACTTTCAATGGTTGAAACACTTATTTGGAACGGATTATGAAGTGGGACATACCTGAATGAAAGGTCTCGCTGATGGAGATCACACCCCTAATCAGTTCACCATATGAGTCATTTAAAAGGATTCTGAAGTAAAATGACTTGTACACTAGATTAATGCTTTAGTGCCGTAGCTACCACCTTGGTGATTGATAGAGCAATTGTCTTGGCTTTCCTATGCAAAGATGCCTTCCTACAATTTACATAATTGGATGTGAATTATTTTCTTTTTAAACTTGTTTTAATTATTCTCACATTTGAGCATTCATATCATTTGATGCTGGTCCAGCAAACTATCAGTAGTGTGTAGATGTGTCCTACATATTACATGGAGCTGATAACATGCAAATTTACAGTTTGTTTTGAGATTGAATTCTTACAATGATGTCTTTTGGTGTCCTTTTCTCTAAAAACACATCTCTTGTTTAGATGTAGCACTTGTTACATCTTTAAGGGATGGAATGAATCTTGTCAGCTACGAATTTGTGGCCTGCCAAGCTTCCAAGAAAGGGGTCCTCATTCTCAGTGAGGTAACCAAGTTTGCTTTCTCCATTTTGGTCATTTTATAATTTAACTTATTTCAGCTTATGTTGATTACAAAATATTGTTAAAGTGGAATTCTTACAATAAAAAGAACAAAAAATGGGGACTGCCATATGAAGATATAAATGTAAGAGGTTTTCAATAGATATCTACATTATGTAGAAAAATATGTTGTTTTAGCCTATAAATTCCACAATTATGCATCAAATTGGGTAATGCCTTGTTTGTGATCTTTGAATCATCTTTAGCAGATGGAATGTCAATTGTCTTTATAATGTTCCACATATATCAGAAGTCTCCAATGCAAAATAACTTGACATAATGAGAAATCCCATCACTCTTAATCACTTTTCCATGTGAAACACTCATCAAAGAGAGAAAACACTCCACAAAAGAAAAGAATGGGGTGGGGGTTTGAGGTTGTGGGCGAAAAATCCAGTTATCGGTTCGCATTTGTAATGCATTGTGTTCACAAGGCTTGAAGCCCTCCATGCACCTGATCCCTTATTCTCTTGTCATAGGCTACACCTACTACATCTATCAACTTCCCCATCGCACTCTTTATTCTCCATTACTTGGCATTTGGACAATTTAGCAACTTAAAATTGGTTAACAAAATGTAACAGAACAGGCAATCAAAGAAAGAAAACATTTCAGAAAATTGAAATGTTTACACATGAAGGGTATACAATCTATAAATATTGCCAGAACCAGGTCTGGTCTTTGGCTTGATGTCTTACTTTGATGAGTACAAGAATCCTTACTCTCTAAGATTCAAACAAAGAAAGTTAAAAAAAAAAATTTGAGGGTAGCTAACTCCTCAAATCTCCCTTGTTATTTGGACATTTTAGCAACTTCAAAAGCGTTAACGGTATGCAACAGAACAGACAAACATAGAAAGAAAACGTTTCGTACATTTTACTTGTCATGCATATGTGAAACAATTACACACTAAGGGTATGGAATCTATTAATATTGGCAGAACCGGGTCTGGTCTTTGACTTGATGTGTTACTTTGAAGTGTCCAATTATCCTTACTCAGATTCAAATACAAAAATAAAAGAGAAATATTGAGGGTAGAAAACTGAAAAAAAGATGTCCCTTTTGTACAGAAGAGAGTACAAGTGATTAACTCTTCATTTTCATATCTGTTGTCTATTCCTCCTTTCTTTCTTTATACTCTTCATTTTCTATCCAAGTCCCACATTTCCCTTCTCCTCTACGGGTGGGTATGATGACACATGTGACTCTAGAGCCCTCTAGTAATCTTATTATGATGGGTTATTAGACTGGCAGTGATTTTTAGTTATATAAGCTTACGCTTAAATTTAAGCTTTTATAAGTGTTGTACTTGTATGGGATATTGAAATCGTGTGGTTGAGATTCTTGGGACATGCTGATGCGTATCTGTTGAACCTACCTAGCTACCATCAACTGACTGCTGGCATTTGATCTTTAAATGGATTAGACGGTATATGATAACTTTCAATTTGTATATAGAATTTTTGTTATTTCAAGATAGGCATTTGAATTAGGTTTGAGTTTGAAAATGAGTTGAGATAAAATAAAAATGGGTTTGTTCAGAATATTGATATCTGCTTTGCATTAATCACAACTGCCCTTTAGGTGGCTTTTCTGGTCCCTGATTAATGCTTCCTGATTATTGAAAACGAGGATGGGAATATTTTCATTCCTTGCCTCGAGATTAAGGCTCTTCAATGACAATAGATATTCTAATTTTTGGGAGTTTGAGATGTCATACCCTGCGGGTCTGAAATTTCCCAGGAGGTTGTCAACTGTGATTGTTGCTCCAGAAAGCATCTAAAGTTGGACTGCAGTCCCTTTGCCAGTGGAAACCAATTGGCAGCCACCCATTGCATGTCATTTTTTGGCCTTCCCCCTCGTTGTTTTCAAATTGTTCCAACAGTGGAGACAGAAATTATTGGACTAATAGGGTCTTGTCTTTAGACAATGTTAGACAAATAGTTTTTTTCTCATAGTTGTTTCATAGATAAAGGATGTTTGGATGCAAGTGTGGTAACATTGGTCCATGTCTCTGTGCAATCCTTAATGTAAACCACTTATCGTATTGTTGCCAATCACTGAATCCATTGCTCAACTGGTGACATTCTTTTATTAGCTTTGCATGTGTTTTTTGCTGTCAGACCTTTTAAGAAGTCTTTTCGAAACCGCTGTTAAGAACTTCTGCTACACTTATCATTGCCTTACAATGATTTATCTCCTGCCACCGCTAGGATAAGGAGTCAACATTTCTGAATTTCTTCATTCCCCTTCTTCAGCACTCAAAACAGCAATTTTTATCATCAGATACTTTATGAGGTCTAGAAGAGTCTAAAGATAGTGAATTTGTATAAAGGATCTCGGAATAGAGAGATTTATGTAGTTAAAGAAGCTAAGTTTAAAATATCTTTGAACAACTCTCACTATTTGGTAATTTCTTTCCCAGGGTTCCCTCGGACTGGAAATGTATGCTGTTGAATTCTTCCAGAGGGAGAGAATCAAGTAAGACAGAGAAAGAAGAAGAAAAGAAGAGGAGAGAGACAAAGAGTTATTAGCAATTGTTTCTACCCAAACAAATATGATATGAGGAAAATAAAATAGAACAATCAGTAATATAAAGCACATAAGACTCCCAATCTCATCCTTAGTAAGAGTTGCAACATCTGAAGCAGAAGAACTTCGGCTAAAAGTGGTAGTACTTGTAGGCTCTACTAGAGTATTATGATGAGCACTTGAGCAGGATTGTGGAAATAGCCTGAACGAACCCCTCTAACATTGGATGGACTGCGACCTGTGAGTCTTCAAGAGGTCTCTCAAGCTTTTCATTGCTAATTACAAAGTCATGAAATCAGAAGAGGAATTCGTATCGCTACCTTTGTCACAGGACTCACAACTCTTTCAAGGACTCCTGTTATCTCATTAAGAAGTTCATGTGCAAAGGATGCATCATCATATATCCATCATTGTGTTGCTTATTTGAGTACTACTTTTGCTCCTATAACCCTGACCAACTGCTCGTCCATACCTCGAGGAATCCTTAAGCTTGATCCTAACTGGGCCAAGTTGTTCATTTGGCCATTCATCTCTCTCAGGACCGTTCACAATGCCACATTGTCAAAATTTGCCAATAATGACATTGCGATGGAGTGGAATGGGCACAACTCCCAACCTTTGCACTAGAAGTCGTTGGCGATCTGGTTAATAACTAGCTAGGAGTCACCGTCACTTTGATCGTAGATGCTCCTATTGCTAACAAAACTTCAAGCCCGATGACTAACGCATTGTATTAAGCCTAGTTGTCAGTGCATTCAAACTCTAGTTTGAAGGATAGTTGGGTTTCGCAGCCTTGAGGCGATTTTATGATCACTTCGGCCCCTGCAGACTCACGTGTCCATGATCCATCGAATTTCAGTTTTCATGGCGTTAATGACACCATGAGTACTCCCAGTAGATCAAGCGATTCCCTCATGTTTTGCTTTACTTCTCATAAGGGTGATCTGCTAAGAAATCGGTCAGCGCTTGGCTTTTTATCGTATACTGCAACAAATATTGGAGTGAAAATTTTATCAAGGCCAGAACCCATTTGCCACACTTGGAGAGTGCAGTACAACAGAGAGTTTTATGCTGCATTCAAGAAGGATGAATCGCTCCCGAACAAGAATCTATTAATTCTCTCCTTATATTAGAACTTTGGCTTGTAAACACAAAAAGTACTGTACGTACTTTTTGGCCTTTCATGTACTTAATTAAATTAGTTTACGCAACAAGATACACCACAACAGAGATCATATAAACTCTTAACTTTTGTGATGTGAAGTACAATGTTAAACACAACTTCTCAATCGGCTTATACTGTTGCTCAACCAGAGTCAAAATTCTACTTCAGTAATAAACGGTTTGTTCTTTACCCATATTATTATTCTGAGCCGGTAAGCATCCAACAGATTCATGTGAGGCTGATAAGTACAATAATAGTGGCCTACCCTTAATGGGTGGCATAAGGACTTGAAAGGCCTCTTGATGCTGCATTTGAAATCTTCCTACTATCAAAATCAATCTTGTCTAGTTTCAATATATATGCACTTAGTCACTTAGTTTATTGATTATTTTGGGATCATTCAGGTTTTATGATTCAGAATGGCATTATTTGCATAAAGGAACTGGATTCACACTGTTCCTATTGCTTTATTTTTTTTGTAGTGCATGGCTATAGAAATTTAGTTTCAAAAGTTTCTGATTTGATATTTTATTTGGAATCTAACATTTTCAAAGTAGGTTGAGAAACTTCTCACCATGGTACTGTCTGTTGGTGTACTTGCCAATGAACTTCTAATAGTTAACATTTTAGGGGGTGTAATAATTGTTTCCATGGCATTTAAAAAAAATCAAGAGGAAACTCTGAAAATAATTTGGTTAATAACATGCCTTTTAATGACTTTAGGAGATGGATGCTTTAATTCTTCATTGAAATGTTATTGGGAGTAAAAATTTCTTCCTACTTTTTCATTATTTTATCTTGGGTGTTGCTGCGGTGGTAAGATTGTTCCTTTGTGTTTTGGGTGTCAAGGATTCAAGCAATGGAAACATTCTCTATGCATGCTAGGGTAAGGCTGCATACAATTGACCCGCTCTAGACCCCTGCACTGGCGAAAGTCTCGTGCATTGTGCTGCAACCGTAATATAAATTCATTTTTGTTTTATTTTCTTTTTCTAGTTCGCAGGTGCTGCACAGTCCCTTGGTGCTGGGGCAATTCTGGTTAACCCGTGGAACATCACAGAAGTTGCTGCTTCAATTGAATATGCTTTACACATGCCACCTGATGAAAGAGAAAAACGACACCACCATAATTTCACGCATGTGACTACTCACACATCCCAAGAATGGGCTGAAACCTTTGTAAGGTATTTGTATATCATATGCGGTCAGCAATGTGCTTTTGGTGTGAAACATTTGATCCTTGTTAAGCCACAGTTTTGGGTTGAATTTTTCTTCTTCTCAGTTTTGGATATTTATATGTTCTGGGAATCAAATCGATCAGTATGTATGTCATTTGATAGATTCAATCAAGCTTTCTGTAAAACAAGAAGAAGATGATGATCTGAAAGCAAAATTTTTGTTTCATAATTAAACGAAAGATATGGAGTTACTTCACCGCAAAATTGTGGGTTTAATTTTTTATGATAGTTGATATAATTCTTAGCTATGACCTTGGTAGTTCAACAGTGCCATTGTACAAATAGATATATATATATATATATATATATATATATATATATATATATATATATATATAGAGATTGAAGGTGGAAAATGGAAAAATAAGACAACCTTTCAAATACTACATAAAAACTCCAATTAGGAGAATGGTTCTTTTCTACTTGTTAGTTATTATTGACTTATTATATGAAAGGACTAAAGGAATTTGGACTCACTCATAAGCGTGTTAAAGGATTTTTCATCAAAGTTGGATTAATGGAGATGAGAGAGATAATGGATTAGAGGTAGGGCTTTGTCCAATTGCAGTGCATATGCGACAATAAACCTTTTTTTGTTGGATTTCAAATAACATGCTACAGGTCTTTACTTTAAATCTTCTAAATTCAGGCTTCAAAATCCATCTCTGCTATATCTTGCTGAAACTCAAAATCAACTCAACTTTGACTCAAATAGAACCTTGTCACCAGTATTTGGAGTTCACTATATGAATCGTGTTCGGTCATCGTGCTTTATTAAGGGCCATATTTTCTGTTCTCATGTAACACTAATTTGTGTCTCCCTATACTCCCCACAATATTGTCAAAAAGTATCACAACACTCTTCCTCACTAGTCCAATGGTTGGTATTCTGTAAAAAATGCCAAATTAACTAAAGTCCTTTTTTAATGTCTCCTATTGGAGGTACTTTTACTGATTCCAAATATTTCATTCCTTGAATCTTTCCTATCTGGTTTTTGAGCTTGTTGTTTGGTAATTGTCCAACATCGGGTACTATAAAGCATGGCTATACTAGATGCACTCCCTCACTTAGTTTATCTTCTTTAATTAAATAACTATCAGAAAATGATGTACCCAAGGACAGATTTGCAGTATACAATCGTGATTACATTTTTGGATGCTAACTTCCATAACCTTATTTTTTCTTTTCCTATTTTGTTCTTTTGTTTTCAGAGAAAAACTTGCAGATATATTGTTCTTGCTCTTATATCATGTTGGTTGGAAGCGGAATTAAGGATATTGTACCGATATTGACTACAACTACATTGACCAGAATGTGATGCATTTAATTTAAGAAGGAAATAGCAGTTAAAATTATCAGAAGTGGAATTAGATAACAAGAAAAAATAAAAAAGAATTGTGAAGCTGGTTTTGCTTGTCTTTTACGATTGCTACATGCCTGTTGGTGATATGCTAAAATGTGAATTTCTCAGGATATATGACATGACCAATTTTGTTGCTTAATGCCTTTAAGGCTCCATTGACATGATCAGCAAATGATGTTTGAAAAATAGGTAGCAAAGCTACGCCTTCAGAACCATAATTTGTCTGTGCACGACGGCATCTGTTTGGTCATTGGTTATTTCACTTTCCAGAAAGATTTGGTCCTTTAAATTTTTTTCTCTTTTTATGCATATCCAAATAGGTAGAGTTTGTGCTTTTTCTCTTTTTTTGTGCACTGATCCGACTGTTTTGTTTGATGCAGTGAACTCAATGATACCATTGTTGAAGCTCAGTTGAGGACAAGACAGATTCCACCTTTACTTCCTACTAAAGTTGCTATTGATCCTTACTTGCAATCCAATAATCGATTGCTCATATTGGTACCCTCTTTTTAGTTCAACGGAAACTCATGTTGCCTGTTTGTTATCTTTTATAATAATATATGTCATGTATTGTCTGCTTCTTACTTAAAAGGATGAATGCGACTTTTTTTCATGGTAGGATAACATGGAAAGTACTCCTGCTTCTTATGAAATAAGATCTTCGTTTATGAGTAGGCTTTGTTTTTCTTAATGGTTGAAGTGTTGGCCCCATTTGTGAATAACCAAGAGTTCGTAGGATTCCTTTCTTATGTTTTTATATTTTGGCTTACAATAGAGATTGCAACTCTCACACTTTTTTTTTTTTTTTAGCTTTTTATTACACCTGTTGTCCCAAGTCTCACACCTTTTTGTGGAAGCATGCAATCACCTGCAAGCATCAAAGTCTTACTGAACTAAGAAAACAAATGAATGGATGCAAGTACAGACCTCATAGAGAGTGCAGGTTACATAACCATATGCATTCAAAATCTTTTTAGACAACGGTCATTCCGGATTTTAATCGAATCTCAAACGTCTCCTTGTAACCATGTGACAAACTTTAAGGAGGTTCTACTGTGTTTTGGTTGCTAAAATAATACAATGGCAAAGTTTGCTCTCTTGAACTGTCTGATGAATTTACCCTGGCAAGTTGAGTAGGGAAAATGCGATAAGTCACTCGTAAGAATACTAAAAATTGAGCCTTTATGGTAGCGTAGTTAACTTTATCTACCTTTGTAGTCCTTAGTAATAGTCTGAAGAATATTAAGCACTTTGAACCTCTCAAAAAAAGTAAGAAGAAAAGGGAAGAAAATTATGTTCGGTCATCTTTGTCACCTCTCTCTATGTAATTTAGCAATGATTCAGAATTATATTATCTTCCCTTGAAGATCCCGGGACCTGTGTTGAGTTATGTAAATATTTGATGCCACTTCTTCTTGTTAATGTAATACCCCTCTTTCAACCTATGCAATTGCTTAGGGCATGACTATATGTCAATGGAGATGTGATGCCTTTGCTCTACTCATAAAATTAATGTTCTGTGAGATGAGTAATGTCAATAGCTGATAATTGCTTTTTCCTTTTTCTTTTCTGTAGGTAGTAATTGCTTTTCTCTAATGTGCTTTTGCATTGTTCGTACAAAGAAACCAAGTAACATGATATTGTATTTGTAGATATTTCTAGTTTTGAGAGTCCCATTACATTAGAACATGAAACCACTTCATCTTTCATTACAAAACAAAATTTCCCAATACTTGCAACCTTTGTTAGATATTTTGGATGGTTTATTCAGTTACTTTCTTGCTTGATGATTCGTGTTCTTATCATGTTCTGCTGAAATGGGCTCTGATAAATTTTGGAATGGGGTGTTTAAGCAAGAATGATATGTCCAACAAAAGTTATGGTTTTGTTACTCTGTTACATGCATTTTAGGCTTGGTTAGCACCTTAAGTGTCCAATATTTTTTGTGCTTATAATTTGCAGGGATTCAATGCAACGTTAACAGAACCAGTGAATGCCCCAGGAAGAAGGTTTGATCAGTTCAAGGAAATGGAGCTCAAGTTGCATCCAGACTTGAAGGAACCCCTAAAGAAGCTTTGTGATGATCCAAAGACAACAATTGTTGTTCTTAGTGGAAGCGATAGAAGTGTCCTGGATGAGGTAGTCTAGTTTCACTAATTACCCTCTTTGCTGTCCCTAGTAAATTCTAGTTCTTGACTGATCCACTTTGACAGAACTTTGGTGAGTACAATATGTGGTTGGCAGCGGAACATGGTATGTTTTTACGTCGTACGAAGGGAGATTGGATGACAACAATGCCAGAAAATTTACACATGGATTGGGTTGACAGTGTAAAGGTGCCTATACCAATACTTAAAAATTGAATATACACTCAAATTTATTGAATTCTTCAAACTCCAAGCCCCAGAATCTTTTCCATCATTTCAGCATGTTTTTGAGTATTTCACGGAGAGAACACCCCGGTCTCATTTTGAGCTTCGTGAGACTTCACTTGTCTGGAATTATAAATACGCAGGTGCCTAATTTTATTTTTGATTCCCTTTAGACCTTATTTTTTATATGATTTTTCTAATTATGCTTTTCTGCTGAGAATGCTATTGTAGATGTGGAGTTCGGAAGGCTTCAAGCTAGAGATATGTTACAGCATCTTTTGACAGGCCCTATCTCAAATGCTGCTGTGGATGTTGTCCAAGGTCGCCGATCAGTTGAAGTCCGAGCAGTTGGCGTCACCAAGGTGAAAGAAAATCTAATTTCTGTTGTGTAGTGGAAATGCTTGTTTTTACCTTTACTAATTTTCATGTCTGTACAGGGCGCAGCGATTGATCGTATACTGGGGGAAATAGTCCATAACAAAGATGTGAAGGCACCCATTGATTATGTCTTGTGTATTGGGCACTTTCTGCCGAAGGTAGGTGATCTTTTCCAAATATTAAGCAGCATCCTTTTCACTGCAAAAATATTGTCAATACTTATGCACTTGTTTGAATATGTTTATGAAGAATGTTCTTCCAACTTGATTGTTCCCAAAGGAAAATCTTATTTAATTTGTTTTTTATTTCAATTATTTTTTTCCTTGGCAATATACTATAAGCGAAAAACGTGCAACGACAAGTTCCTTGTCTCCAAAATTCATGAATGTGATGTTAACAAATGAAAGGAGTGGTCTTAATTGGAGGTGAACCAATAAGTAATGGATGGTACACTGTCGACCACCACTCCTTGATTTTAGTGAAGCGTGTCGAGAATTGTGGGATTGTCCAATAATTACATCACGAGACACTGGGATGTCCAGGGTTATTTTTGTAAAACCAAGCATTTCTGCATTTGCTGTAGTTAATGCCTTCATAAATGCTGCATTAGTAACAATGGTTACTTCTAATTACCTGATTAAGACCTTAAAATTTTGGGCACTGCTGAGGGATTGGTGTCACTTAAGAATTGAATTAAGGTCTGCCATATTCATTATGCTGATAACACTGCTTCATTCCCATCTATTGATGATAATAAATTTGTACTTGTTGGAATATTGGTTCAGGATGAAGACATCTACACATTTTTTGAGCCAGAGCTTCCTACTGGACCAGTGGCTGCAGCAAGAGTAAAGGTAGCCAATCCTGTCAATCGAGCTGCTTCAAATGGTTCAACAAGGAAAAGTGCGTTCAGGGCGATTCGTAGTAAGGGCCCTCAGATATTTCCTGCCTCAGAGAAGCGAACAAGCAATAATGGAAACGGGAATTGTTGCTCTATAATGCGTGATAGAATGACAGTACACGAGGGTTCATCTGTTCTTGATCTTAAGGGCGATAACTACTTCTCTTGTGCTGTTGGAAGGAAGCGATCAAGTGCCCGGTATCTTCTTGGATCATCAGCTGATGTAGTATCACTGTTGAAGGAGCTGGCAGAGTCATCACCACCAGGATGATCATACTTTTTCTTTTGCCTGATGCAATGCTATCAGTTGGATGGTTGAGATCCTAGAGGACTTAGAAGGCATGGCATGGTGTTTTTATGCAAATTAGCTGCTTTCTTTTTAGAGGTAAATCTCAACCGCTTTTCCCAAAAATTTGGATTTTTTTCCTGGGTTTGGCTATGTTGCCTATCGTGTATTTACAATAAAATTGGTAATAATACCATTTGAAAATAGTAATAATACCAATAGTTGATTATTCTTCAGAGTAAGTGAATCAATCTGTGGATGTATTGACCATGGTCTTAGATTTTTGGCTGAAGGTTCACATTGTTTCAAGCTACTTATCTTTATTTACTTGGAGTCCATCTCAAGCCGAAGAGTGAAACTCAAACCATTGTTGCTATGAAATCTGGTAGCCATTGGAAGCCAAGGTTTTTGGTATTGGGTATTCTGTTGAACACCACCATTCTGTAAAGTTAAATGAAGCCATAGAGAGATCTATCAGCCGGGAAGAGTAACACAGTACCACACCGAAAGTTACGACCTGATTAGATCAAGTTAGAGGATCAACGGTGACCTAATAGCTTCTTAGCCTGCCGTTGGACCATTAGGTCGTGGTTTTGAATCTCGCTAGCGTCCTCTACAGGAAAAATTTTAAATAAAGGAAAAAAAAAAAAGATCAACTTACATTTCAAGCATATGCCAAGTTGCATTTTGAGGAGGCAAACTTAGGGTCGAAACTAAAAACTCGAAATCAATCATGAGTTTATGGATCACTTTAAATTCGAGCAAGCATATTAAATTTGACTTGGACATGACTCACACACGTGCTCTAGTGTCACTACTAGTGGATTGGACGAGCCAACTTATATTAAATTTAAACAAGCATAGTGTATGTTAGTCTATTCAAATTGTATAGTGTTCACATAATAATTCTATAATTAAGAATATTTAAGAGTTAAGTACTAAGAATTATAAGTTTCATCTTCTCAATGCCTTGAAAAATGATATTTTAAACTCATAATCTATGGAATTTATCATATATGTTAAAATAAAATAAATTAGTAACATGATAAATAAACTTGTCTTTATATTTAATTAAGTAATGAATATTATTAGTACAACTTTAATACCATTTGTGCCATTGATCTTTGGGCATACTATTGACAAAGAGGACATCGACACATATGATATTGAATTAAGTACTAACCTATGGCAATTTTGAAATAAAATTACCAAGTTACAATATTTTTGAATTTATTTACCAAATAACGATATTTTTTTAAAAGCGGGATTGTTGACTTCGCTCTTATTAAGAAGCGAGAAACGGGGTCAATAACCCCGTTTTTTAGTTCAAATTGTGTACTTCATATAATGGGAAGTTGTTACATGGCGGGGATGTTATACGAAGTCCACAATTTAAACTTAAAAATGGAATCAATGACCCACTTTTTAATAAAAGTAGAGTTTTTGACTCTACTTTTTAAAAAGGGATTTAAGGGGAATCGGTTACCTTTTTAAAAAATATAGGGTAAAAAGTATTATTTTTAAAAATATTTGTCAAAAAGTACACAATACATAGCAAATGTCTAAAATATCCCAATCGAAAGAATGTGAATAGTCTCTTAAATTTTTGCCTCTAGAGCCGAAATAACGGGAAATGGACTGTTACATTTTGTAACTCCTTCGATATTGCCAAAAATGTGGGTTATTTTCAAAATTGATTTCATAACTTCCTAAAACCTCCGTCATTTTAAAATAGGATGGTCAAAATCTTATTATTATTATTTTTTTTTGTTCTTTGGATGAGTTTCATTGTGAGAAAGTGAGAAAGGAACTACTGGAGGGTTAAGAAGGAATCGGTAAAGACATAGCCTTACAATGTGGATACAAAGGTATGAGAAAACTTTCTAAACCCTTTACTCATTTGAAGTCATGATGTTGAGAATGGTTTTTTTTTTTTGTTGTTGATGGGTTCACTGTTCAATACCCATTGTTCACAAAATACTTGGAAAACTTCCATTCAATAACCATTGTTCAGAATGGGTATTTCGTTGATGTGTTCACTGTTCATCTTTGAAAACATTCATTCAATACCCATTGTTCAGAATGGGTTTTTTCGTACAACCCATTTTTTATTTATTTTTTTTTTTTGGTTGATGTGTTCAATGTTCAACGTTGAAAACTTTCATTCAATACCCATTGTTCAAAATGAGTTTCTCGTTCAACCCATTTTCATTTTTTTTTTAATGGGTTTACTGTTCAACTTTGAAAACTGAGAAAGAGACAGAATGCGAACAAGGGAATCCATTGCTAAAATGCGAACAAGGGAAATGGGTTGAACAAGAGTGGTCAATGGATACTCTGTTTTTTGTTATTTCAATATCACTGTACCTTTTTGTTTGCTTTATAGTTGTTATATTGTGCAGATGAAAATGAACCATTGATACTTTTGTTTTTGCTCATCATTTTTTTTTGTTCCATCCAATACATGATGTCGAGAACGTGTTTTCTATTCAACCCATTTTTAATTTTCTTTTTTTTGTGGATTCACTATTCAAATTTAAAAACTTCCACTCAATACATAATGTTCAGAATGGGTTTTTCGTTTACTTGATGGGTGCAGTGTTAAATTTTGGTGATTTCACTTTAACAATTTTGAAAACTTATTATTCAACGTGGCTTCAATGTGTAATAGTGAAAATCTTTGTTGCAGACAGTGACGACCACATCATTAACTGTGAATAAAAAAACATACATTGGAGTGGAAACTGAATCTCTAATATAACTGTCATATTTGTGACCCCATTAATAAAGAAAAAGGATAATTTTGTAAAAAAAAAATTACAATTTAGCATAAGTGTACCTTTTGACCAAAAATTTACACACAAAGGTACTTATACACATATGTTTTATATTAAGGTATTTTTCCACAAATAAGTTCTAAATTGTGTACTTTTTCACAATTTTTCCTTTTTTAAAAAATATTATAATTTGATAAATAAATTCAAACGTGTTGTAGTTTAACAAAATTACCTTAAATTGGTACTTAAGTCGGTATGCCTTCTCTCACTCTCCATAGATCTGAATATGGAGAAGGTACCAAAACCACGTTTTTACAATGAGGAACACAAAGAGCTACACAAACAAACGGGAAAAATCAATTGCCCTTCAATTGTGATATTTTTAACATTTTTACCTCAATATTATAATTTTTATTTTTTTTAAAATTTCATTATTTTGATTGAAGCTTGGTTCAAACTCATTTATTTTTTTTCCAATATAAATACATATTTTCAAGGGTTAATCGTAACACCCCGAAAGATCTTTCGAATCTTAATTTGTACTCTCAAAGATAAAAAATATCAATTTACACCCTCAAAGATACAAATTTGTATCAATATGTATCTGAAGTTAACAGATGTCAGTTTATCGTATAAAACTTATTAGATAAAATACACATGTACCCCCTCAAATTTGTCACTTAATCACAAGACCCCTCACATTTAGAATATTATACTTACATCCTCTAACGTTTGTACGTGTGTAAACATAACCTCATGTCGTCAATATCTGTTAATGTAACCATTAAAAACATGATGCCATTTTTATAAACAACTATAATTTCCATACTACTTTTTATTTTGTAGGCCCGTTATACTTTAAAGTTCAAAATCAAGCTTACCCTTTGAATGTTCAATACAATACAGGTATTATATAATGTTTAAGAGTACTGATATTATATAATGTTGTTTATATCCAATGCAATACATCACTTAAACAGAATTCTTTGGATGCCTAATTGAGGGAATATTTTTAGTTATATTTGGATTATTAGTGGGTTTAGGAGTAATATTTCAAATGGAAAGGGCTCCAAATGATTAAGTGACAAATATGAGAGAGTTTAAGTGTAATTTATCCATTTAATTTTAGACGACAAACTAGACAAATGTTAGTTTTAGGTGCACATTAATATAAATTTATATCTTTGAGCGTGTAAATTGATATTTTTATTTTTTGACGGTGCAAATTAAAATTCAAGATATCTTTCAGGGTATAATTTGTGATTAACTCTATTTTCAAAACACACTTTCAGTATTTGAAAGCTGCGATATGTATTTCTTTTTCAATATAAATACATATTTTCAAGATGCATTGTCATCAAGTAGAGTTTAATTTACGGGAGTAACGTGATTTGTTACTTAACTTTAATTGTGGTGACGGACTGCCTTGCGGATTAATAATTATTATTCAATTCGAACATTCCACAGTAAGACACTCTCATGATCACGTCCAGAGAGATTACTATCTACAACTCACACCTTTCCCTTTCATTTCTCAAAAAAAAAAGGGGGATGCTAACCATTAGCATGTATGCAGACATACTCTCACTTTCAGCACTCATAATATTCTCTGCCGTAGAAGAAGAGAAACCTTAGTCACAGTCAGAGGAATAAAAGTTACAAGTGAAAAGGGGACCGGAAGTATGGACCTTGGACAAGATTTAAAATCCAAAAAAGTGTGGGAAGAGGTTGGAACGTGGTGCATGAGCTGTGAAATCGACGAGTTTTAATGGGTTCGAAAGATAAATTAGTGGATCCGATAGACTCGTCAAATAAATAAATTATTACGAACTCATCTAAACACGATATAAATCTGTTAAATACAACTTATACTCGACACGAATTTAATTATATACGATTATAAATAGATTGCTTAAGTTAACATGATATAAACCCGAGACAACATAACCTATTGACATCCTGGCAATTGTGCATGTGGTGTCTTGCGTGAGAGTTGCATGTATTAAAAAACTGCACATCCACACACACGAACACACTGCACAAACACACGCACGCACACACCCAATCACACACACACACACACACACACACATTGCACACACAGAGCTAATAATTTTTTAATTCTTCTTTCAAGTTAGATGAAAATATTTAATTAATGTTACAAAATATTTATTTGGATAATTTATTTTATATTTGTTGTACAGATTA